ATTACATCATGATGAAGTGATGTGGACCCCATATTTTGTAAAGGAAGGACCATGTTTTAGTTTCCAGAGGAGATTAACATTATTATATTTGTAAATTGGATCAATTTTTTAGGTTTATAGAAAAAATTTGGTGATCTTAATTATAAGTTCTCGTTAACCACCACCTATAGAAACAGATTATCTACCACTTTTAACCCTATTTGCGTAGGCTTGTGCACAGACTTATGTTCAATAATTTCAAGGGTTTTCACTTTGATATATTTTCACTCATAATTGCTTAGAGTCTTTTTTTTTTCATTAATAGATACTCACAACGAGTCGACCACACTCCCTAGCATAGCCTTTTCCATAGGAACATCCACAATAGATCCGGTGCGCTGGACAATATCTCCTTTTTGAATAGTAGTCTCATTACCAAAGACAAACAATCCTTATATTCTCATTCTCATTCTCAAGATTCAAGATTATTCCTGTCACACCGCTGGCAAATTCAACCATTTCTCTAGCTTGAATCTCGTTCAATCTATAAACGCGTGAAATTTCATCTCCAATTGAGACCACTCGACCGATATCAACACCTGTGTCAAATCAAAAAAAGAAAAGAAAAGAAATTTAATTCCCTTTTACTTTCCATTTTTCAACCTTTCATATTTCCCTTGCCTCAAACAACCGTAGACGAAAATTATCCAAATAAATGTTGACTGACGTTGGATCCGTGGAATCTTACTAACCAGATTTAGAATCTTTAACGTAACGGTAACACCACGTAACCATCATTTTTACGTGGTGTCAATGCCACCATTTAATAACAAATCTAAAAATGGAGTTTAAACTTCACTTTTTTATACATGATGGTTATTTTTTTTTGCATGAACATAATAACTATTAAATAGACACGACGAGTTTTGTCCGACTTATGACACATCTGCACATGTAATATGATGGGTCAATTTATGTGGGTACTGTTTTTCGATTTTTGGTGTTGGCGGTGGTAAGGTATTGAGGACTGAACTGCACGGATAACACATGTGAATGTGGCAGCCACCCTGGGATGGGATTTGGTGGTTTCTTTCTTTCTTTCTTTCTTTTTTTTTTTTGGGTTTTGAGTTGATGCATATGTCACTCGTGATGCTGTACTGAAAACAACATCTTCTTTCAATCGCTATACGTGGTTGGATTGCATTTTTCAATTGCTACTAACGACCAACTAAAACATTTATCATATGATATGCCCCTTTTGCCGCAACCTTTTACTTAAGCCGGCAAAAAATATTTATCCTAGATTTTGACAACACATGAATTTAATGTCAATATTAATAAATTGTTGGTAATTAATTTTTTAAATGGAAAAAAATATCAAGAAAAATAAGCATGAATAATAAAAAGATTTGGGTATTATTAAAAAAAAAAAAACTAAATTTTGACTTGCAGACGTATTTAGTTAATATTGTATAAATAAGATATTCGATTTTTCTACTCTTCTAAAACATTTATGAAGGATTTTTTGTGGAATTACAGCTATTTTCACTTGGTTTTGCTAACCTTTTATTTGAGTGTTTTTTTAGTGTACAAACAACTTATAAATCCCTAGTCTCGAGATTTTAGTCTAAATGCATATTATCTTGAACACGACATGATTTATAAATGGGTTGAACTAATGTATAAATATATGTTTCAATTGATTAAATGTTATGATTCGACGTGAGTCTAAAATGGTATGCTTTGAAAATGTGAGGGTACCATTTCATTGGTGCCCCCCTACACAACTCTATTAGAATTTGTGGTTAGACTCTATGCTGATGAAAAATATCAGTTAGTGAATTTTTTTTACATGTCAGTATTCGAATTCTTAATATTTAAACATGTGACAATGAGTATTACATTTGGAGCCTGTCTAAAAATTTAATTTTAGGAGGATATATGGGTTGTTTTAACTCACTATCTTAAACAGAGTTGCTGTAGGCACCTAGATTTCCACGTGCCGTGGTCAGCTCAATATTCTCCACCTATTTGGAACATATGGCATGTGTGTGGAGGAACGGTTGCGAGAGAGAGGCATAACTAAAACATGCCACTGTCTTCTTTAATTATAGCATTTGGATAATTACAATAGTTTATTACAACATAATCTTATTGGAGAACCAAAAACACAGTTTTACAGCATTTACCAGCAAAATTGTTAGTCCTGTCAAAAAAAAAAACCTGTGAAAAAAGTGCTGGCTGTCAAATAATGCAAGGAGCTTCACAAGAAGATGATTGGAATAGGGATGACAATATTCTAATCCTAAAATTTCAGGAG